GGGACTCCAAAAACCAGCCAAAGCCAAACCTCCCTTAATTGAGTAGAATGACAATCAGCCATGGTACTAAACCAGAGATGATTTTTATAAATAGAGTTGATAGAAGGATTTTTCCAACTTCTGATTGCTGTCTGGCTATGGTTCCACCCTTAGAAAAATTCTGTCCTTAGAGTGCCAAATTCAGAAGATGATTTTGCCCAACTCGTTACCACTCTATTTTCTGAATCTCTTAAAATAGAATTGAATCATAATTTAGAGAAAGAATCCAACATGCAAAAATGGATGGGCACATAGGATGAAGCCAAGTTTGTAGATGCATTTGCCCCATGAATAGTGAAATATTCTCTCTTAAGTCTGAAAATGTTCCTGAAGCACATCTTTTGAAATTAAAGAAAAAGTGAACTCTCTTTTCTTAGTAGTTTGCTTTTGGAAAATAGAAATATTAGATGCTTGTTAACTCTGTCAGTTTTTGCCCCCTGTCCCAAGGAAAATTCTATCTTTTTGTCTTCTCTCCTAGCCTACTCCTCTACTACGCTGTGTGGCATTCCCCACCCCCACTTCACCCCACTCCCTCCCCCGCCACATACAAACACACTGCAGGATTTACATCAACACTACATAGCTAAAACTCAAGAAGAAAGATTACATGCAGAATTCGTTCATGCCTTGTGATAATGACTTAAATGTGTCTCCTCACCTTCTCCAACTCACTGTTAAAGACACATCAAGGGCTTACACATACAGCTATCTCAGAGACTCAGAGCAGCCTCTAAGTAAAAAGACTGGATCCTTAGAAAACATTGAAGGGTTCAAGGGCCTTCGGGAGGGAAATGGTGGCAGCATCAGGAGCAATACTGCTTTTGGGCCTAGCGCTGGCCCCACACCTGATCCATGAACCTTTTGTCCTTGCTGGGTCCTCGTGTGAGCAAACTGGACACAGGCCTCGTTGTGTTTTCAAATGCAAATCTCCCAAACATTACTTTATACAGGGACCCTGGAAGGCATAACAACTTACACTGTCTCACCCAATCCTCCCAGTGGTCCTGTGAAGTAGGTGACATTTTTACCCTCACTCTACAGAGGAGAAAGCTGGAGTTCAGAGAGGTCCAGAGCAGGGCCAGGATTTGAACTGGATCTTCTGATTTTAAATTAGCATTCCTTTGATTTGAGCACCACCATTGTGAAGATCTGTCTTTTGACTGGAAAGAGAATACAAACACTTGGGGCCAGCTTTTCAGGACAAAGTGCATTGGAAAGGGCCCCCATCCAGCTTGCATTCTCCTACCTGCTTGCTTTTCCTGGCACTTCCTTTATTTCTGTTCCTTACTCGGGGCTCTGTTCTTTCCAGATGAGAATTCATGGTTCATTCCTTTCTAATGCCCTTTTACCTCTGGTTTACACAGACCTCATGGGTCAGGGGTTCTTTTGTTGCCTGATACTGGGTGATGCCGCCAGCAGTAAACAGATGAACACAACACACTTCTGCTGTCAAAGGAAGTAGTGGAGACACATATTCAAATCCATAATGCAAGTCCAAGTGTGAGAAATGTTCAGATGTGTGTAGTTTGTTCTGTGGACCCAGGGGAAGGATCCAGCTGATGACAATGTCATCTCCTTCGTGTTTGTCTCTTTGCCTCCTCTGCTATTTTTGTACATAGAAGTCCAGTAAAACAAAACAGTAGGTAGATTTTTTTTAAAAAGACAGATAAAAGCATGCTTATGGATAAAACCAACCTACACAAGTCACCAACATAAGCCCCTCACTCCTCCCTGTGCAACAGAGTTAAGAGGAGTTTGGTTTAGGTGGTACAAGCCCAGTTTCTGAAGCTTCAAGGGAGCAGAGCTTCAGATCCTAGATTCTTGGCCACTGTTTGTTTTGATATGAAGTGAAGAAATGTGCAGTTTCCATGGAAATGGACCTATGAAAATTTGATGGTCTCTCTGGGCACTTGCTGGCCCAAATCTTTTCACTGTTCAAAGCAGAACTGGTGGTACTTTTAAGAGACACCTCTTAGAAAACCATTTACTGAAGTAGGAATAGGAAACCCCAACACCAGACCCTTTTTTTCTAATGGTATCTTCAGAATTGGGCATGAGAATTAACTGCTTAACGGCATGAGAATTAACGGCCTAATGAAAACTAGGCTGGTAATTTGTCTCCTTGAGTCAGGTCACCACTGCGGAGAAAGCTTCAAATTCTGCCAAAGGCAGTTAGTGAAAATGCTAGATTCCCAGTGAGGATGATAGCAGAAAAGACTTTGGGATCCTGCTGCTACCTCTGCCATCTAGTGTTTCCACGTGGCGGATGTGAGGCAGGCCCTGCCTATTCACCTGTGCCCTCCTGTGTGGACAGCAGCCCCAGGCGTGGTATACTGCATATTGCAAACTCATCCTGTGGAGACTCAATCTTGAACCACCTGGTTTTGCTCCCCTACTCACTGGAAGAGCTGCAACAGACAGTCCTCCACTGCCAGCTTCCTGTGAGGGCTCAGCAAATCCTCTCATGGTCACACTTCCTTCCTAGGGTGGCCCCCAGTGGATGGTGGGTTGATAAGGGGTTGTAATGGCTCAGCCCCATTGACCCTCTACTCAGGACAGCTCTGAAGGGTCGTCCTCTAGGGTCAGATAAGGCTCTGTGGAGACTGCATTATACCTTGACTTCATCTTCTGCCCAGTTCTTCCCACAGGTATTAATCCCAAGAGCATGCCCTAGTCAATGTCCTGTCTACTAATCTCTATCTGCTCTCCAGGAACTTGACCTGTGGCACATCCTGAGATCTACAAGTTGTCCCAGTCAGGAGTGTCCCCACAGGGAGAGTGGTTTGAGGCAGTGAGCTACAAATGACCACCAGGCATCTGACAGTGCTCCTCAACACAGGATGTGGTGTGCAGTCTTACACTGGGCCCACACCTGGTGGATGGCTGTGCTTTCATTCTGTTCCAATTGAAGTGAATGTGGTGTTCACATTTGAAGTCTGACTTTGATAATGATTGATTGCAGTCCCCTGGTAAAAGTATCCACACACTCATATGCCACCTCTACCAAGAGGAGTCCTCTGGGCTTTCCTCTTCTTTGTCCCTCAGTTGAAGTGTTTGCTGCCTTTCTGAATCCCTCTTTTGCTCTTATGTTTGCTCCTTGTGGCCTTGATTATTTATTCTACAACCCTCTGCTGAAGACTTGCCATGTGCCTGACACTGTGCCCTGTGCTGACAATGCAGAGATGGAAGGCTTGAGGAGCTCACCATCTGTACCAGAGATAATCAAGTAAACATGCAATTTGAATGTACTGTTGCCAATGATATGACACAAATTAAGTATGAGGTGTACCAGCGAGGGTCATCCAACCTAGCCTGGGGCAGAGAGGCTGTAACAGTAATGAGAGGGTCAGGGAACATTTCTCAGAAAGGTGATACCTGAGCCCAGTCCTGGAGGACTGTTAGGTGTTAACCAGATGCATTAGTTTTCTATGGATGCCATAACAAATCACTGTCAACTCAGTGGCTGAAAACAACACAAATTATTTACCTCACAATTCTGTCGGTCAGACATTGAAAACCAGCTTTACCAAGCGAAAGTCAAGATGTTGACAAGTCTGGATCCTTCTGGAGGTTCTAGGGTAGAATTAATTTCCTAATCTTTTCCAGGTTTTAGAAGCTGCCTGTATTTTTCGGCTTGTGGCCTCTTCTTCCATATTCAAAGTCAGCAGCATAGTATCTTCTGTCCTCTCTGACCTCTGCTTCTATCCTTATGTCTTCTCTTCTTGATCCTCCTGCCCCTCTCTCCCAAATACGCTTGTTTAGGATGATGTTGGGCCCATTCTGGTAATCCAGGATAATCTTGCACAACAGGATCCCTAACTTAATCACACTTGCAAAGTCCCTTTTGCTGTGTAAGGTAATATATTCATGCATTCCAGGGGTTAAGATATGGACATATTTAGGGAGGCATTATTCATCCTCCAACACCGTACATGCTTGAGTCAACATTCCAGGCAGAGGGGTGGATATGTGTAGGGACAGGGAAGTGTGGCTTGGTGTCATTTGGGCAGCTACGGATGTTTCATAAGGTGGATGCATAAGTTTCCAGAGAGGCGTGTTAAGAATAAATCAAGCTGGACTGAGATGCAGGGGCACCAGTTCATTTAGGACATTGTGTTTTAAGCTTGACTTATCATATGCGACTTATCTCCCTATTTGTGTATGGGTGCCCAAGGCCAGGATTTGGGTCCGTGTCTTTTTGATGCCACCAAAGCTCTGGCTCAGTGACTGGCACAGGACAGGAGCTCAGCACATGTGTGTGGCATCAACAAATGCCAGCTTTGCCCTGCTATGACACCGTGGTATCAGAGTGGTCTGAGCCAAGAACAAAAGGCTGGCGTGATCCTGGACATCTTCATCCTGGCACTGTAGCTGGCCTGCTAGCACGGATGTTTCCTGAGCCAGAAGTGTGTGTGGGTACCACTGGGAAAGACTTTTTAGAGTTTGCCAGATGAAACTGGCAAAATGGTCCTTGTCAAAGCTGGAACATGGGTGCATGAGAGCTTCTTAGGCTCTTCTCCCTACTGAATATTGCCATAATATAACGTTTTTAAAAGGTTATGTGAGCAGAGGTGAGGTGTACATTGCATCCTAAGAAGCACCACAGGCACCAAAATGGGAGACAAGTCCGTGGTAATAGCTGGGCCTAGACCAGGGCTAAAAGGGATGAAGACTCTAAAGCACTTGTGTCCATAACTTAACGCACAAAGCATCTGTGCATGTGCTTTGAACTGTAAATCTCTGCATACCCATGAGAGACTTTTCCTCAGTTATTAATACAAACATTATTTCCTCAGAAATGAGGCCATTTTTTAATCTTTTGTGTAATTAGTGATTTGAATTTCCTTCCCATCCAGGAACCTCAGGGCCCACCAAAGTAATTCCTTCTCCACGTAACCTCCCTTTGACATTCTTCATTCAACATATGCTGGTTTTCTCCCCTCTCTGCCCCTCATCACCAGACGCTGAAGGATGCTAGTGACAACGCACGCAAGGACTTCCACCGTGAGGCCGAGCTGCTGACCAACCTCCAGCATGAGCACATTGTCAAGTTCTACGGCGTCTGTGTGGAGGGCGACCCACTCATCATGGTCTTCGAGTACATGAAGCATGGGGACCTCAACAAGTTCCTCAGGTACAGTGTGGTGGGGAAGGGACGAGGCAGGAGGTGGGCTCAAGGTGGGAGCAGGCAGTCATGGCTCAGACAGCCTGAGTTAGAGCCTCCTAAGTCGTGTCTGGCCCTAACATGGTGTTTTCTTTCAAAGAGAGCTGCCGTTTAGCTTTGACAGATGAGCAAATGAGCTGCCTGTGATTTCTTGATAGATGGTGTAATTGAAAAGAAATGGGAATGATGTTAGGGGCAGGTGATTACTTTGCAGCTGCCTTTGCCGGCCTCAGTTTCCTTTCATGCAAAGGGGGTGTGACACTATCCACATAAAGGCCTAGTGCCAGGACTATTGTGATGGGGGGTAATCAATTAATGTTGTCCCCACACCTTTCTTCTCTGCCTCATTTTCCTGGAACATTTAGTATACCTTCTGTGTTGTGGTAACACCCACTCCTCTGTTCTCTTCTGTTTTTTGTGGGTGCTGAAGAGGGATTTCCACTGAAATCGGTGCCAGTACCTTCATGCAGCCACAGGAAGATTCAGAAACTGTGCAGTCTAAGGAATAAGCTGATTGCTGAGAGAGCAGTGGAAGGGGAGACTGTACTTCTGTGTTCAGAAAGTTGTCACATGGCTGTCTTGATCCCTTTCACCATCTCTAGTCTCGTGAATACCTGTGTACTTAGTTCTCTTTTGCCAGGATGGGACCCATTTCTCTGCTTTGCCTCTGGCTGTGTGGGTGATGAAATGCCAGGTGAGATTAGGAACATGGAGCCAACTCATGGTGTTCAGAGACAGTCATCCTAATCATGTATTTTCGAAGGGCAGCGAAAGTTTTCTGGTATGAGGATAGGAGAGTGGATGATGGTCACTTTTGCATACCATCTTGTTGGACCTAATGTGAAAGGAGAAAAAGGGGCTGAATTTGGTTGAGGTCTAGCTGCTCATAGAAGAAACATTTTTTCTTTGTTCCCATGCTCTGGGCTCCTTCTTTAATTAAAAATGGTGCTTTCTCCAGACTGGAGCATAATAAATCCACATGTGCTCACCTGGACACAATTAAACAGTTCTGTGAGCTCAAACTGTGCACGTGTGTATAGCACGCATGTGTCTGTGTGTTGATTCTTTCATTTTCATCTCCATAACTTCTCCCTAGCTCCCCTTCCTGCCCTCCAGAGGCAGCCTGCACCAGGTTCTCAGCTGGCATCTTACGCAGGGCATGAAGCTTTTGGAAACCTCCTCTGCTCAGTTTCAGAACCTGCTGAACTCTGGGAACAAGAGGTTTTCCATGCCAAGGCTCAGGTTATTAGGTGCGATACTGTGCTGTGAACAGTCTATCCGAAGGGAACCCAGCCCTTAAACTGCCATGAATGTGTTCCCACGTGTCGTTGGCACTGCCCTATGAAGACAGATGCCCACAGTTATCTCCCACCCTTTTTACTCCTCCAAAGGGCATCCGCTGAGTGCCAACGTGGTCAGGCCCTATGTTGGGCTAGCTGGGAAATGAAGAGTAAAACAAAGACCTTGCTTTCAACGAGATTAAAGTTTCTCCTCTAATCTTTCCAGAATTCCTATCTAACGAGGAGAACATAAACAAGGCTTTTTTTCAAGCAATAAGAACTAATATTTATTAAACCTTTCTAAGCATTTTAAGTGTTATAATTTGCATAAACTTTATAAACTATTATTACCATCATTCTCATTTTACAGTTGAAGAAACTGAGTCACACAGCTAGTGAGTGACAGGCTTGGATTCAAACCCACAGCCTCTGGCTGCAAAACCCATGGCTTTTCACCACCGCCACCCTTCCCCTTGAGGTGGCTGCTGAAAAATTGGAAGGAAAGTACCATGCTATGGAGTTCCAGAGCCAACACTGTGTGGCTAAGGGCCAACTATAACCCACATGGGGAGAGTACAAGCCAAGGAAGGGTGAGCAGCTTCCCTGGTCAGAAGATCTCTGAAACTTACTGTTCTCCATGCCAGGGGGCTGATGGGGCTTTTTCCCTCTTAAAGCATGTTCTCCTGGAAGAGATGAGATATGTTTTTCCCAAGAGCTGCAGGGTAACCTGGCGAGTGAAACAGAGGGCTGTTGTGTTAACTTTATTTATACCATTTTTAAGGAGCTTGCTTAGAAAACTTACCTGCCCTTTATTTACAGCAGGACTTTCTGTTCAAGGGAAGCGAGCAGGCGCCTGCCCCATCCCGCGCATGGTTGTGCAGAGTGCAGAAGGTTTTGAAGGGCTGCCAGCTTTCTGGAGCCTTCTGAGTGTGAAGCTAGAGGATGAGGTTTTGTGCAGAGATGGCCTTTTGCACTGACCTCTAACTTTTCCTTTTCCCCAGAGTTTTTGCAAGGGACAGGTTCTTAGAATAGTCTAGGCTGTGGCTAATCAACAACTTATTTCACTCTTTGCACTAAATCTATGACATTTTCATCCAGCCTTGATTTTCTGGGTATTTCAGGACTTCCCATAGTTTATGTGCTCCCCTAGGTCCTTCTCCTGGTACTGAGGTCGTATAAGGTCTCCTGTGATGAGTGAAAACATTCTCACTTTCCCTGCCTCTTAGTGCTGGGAAGGGTTGGGCTTGAATGAACTTTAGTGAGGTGGATGGGGCCAGCCCTGTGGAAGCCCTAAGAATGTGGTCACAGGCCTATCACAGAAAAGAAATACCCTAAGGGGACATTGTGTTCTCACATCACCTCTCCTCTTATTTTTCAAGGAAGCTCTTTGGTCCTGGCCGGGTAGATCAGCTGGTTAGAGCATTGTCCTGAAACACCAAGGTTGCAAGTTTTATCCCCAGTCAGGGCACATCTAATGCACAAATGAATGCACAAACAAGTGGAACAAGAAATCGATGTCTCTTTCTCTTCCCCCTTCCTCTTTCTCTCTTAAAATCTGTAAGTAAAAATCTTTAAAAAAATTTTTTAAAGAGGATCTTTTTTTGCACAGCCTCTTTCTGCCTTTTTGAAAAAAAGATTTTATTTGTTTTTTTAGAGAGAGGTGAAGGGAGGGAGAAAGAGGGGAAAACGTTGATGGGAGAGGGAAACATAGATCGGTTGCCTCTTGCATGCCCCCAAATAGGGACCCAGTCGGCAACCCAGGCCTGTGCCCTAACCAGGAATAGAACTCGCAACCTTTCGCTTTGTGGGACGACACCTAACTCACTGAGCCACACCAGTCAGGCCATTCTCTCTGACTTTTTTTTTAAAAACTCATTAAATTTATTAGGTGACATTCGTTAATAAAATTATATAGGTTTCAAGTGTACAATTTGATAATACATCATCTGTATATTATATTGTGTATTTACCACTCAACATCAAATCTTCTTCCATCACTATATATTTGACCCCCTTCAGGGGTGTCAAACTCATTTTCACCAGGGGCCACATCAGCTTCACGGTTGCCTTCAAAGGGCCGAATGTAATTTTAGGACTGAATAAATGAAACTATGCCTTAACTAGGGGCAAGGACCTCGGCACTGCTGCTCTGCCAGGTAGAAACAAGGTGCCAGGACGGATAAAACAAAGTGGAGGGCCGGATTCAGCCTGTGGGCCTTGTTTGCCACCTCGGCTTTACGTAAAAGTTAAAGAAGGTAAAAACATTTAAAAAAGAGAAGAACATAGCTACGCAATTTGGAAGTGAACTCACAGCCTAAATAGGGATAATTTGTGACAACAAAAACATCAAAGGGGAGGGCTAAAGGTCTCTCTGGCTTTTTGATGAAAGGCCACAAAAGCAGAGTTTCGGTTGCTCCTCCCCTCAGTGTGCTAAGGAAGGTGCAGTCGGTATCTCCACTTTACAGATGAGGAACCAGGTCCAGAGAGGTTCTGGAGCTCACCTAAGGTCAAAGCTAGTGTGTCAGGACAGGATTCAAATTTAGTTCTGATACCCAAGAGCCTTGCCCACTGCACAGGAAGACTCTCTGCTCCAGCAACTTTTGAGCTGAAGAGACCCCGGAGGCATTTCCCTGTGTGATGCTTCCCAGTGTGGCAAGAGGAGGTCGGGAACTGTGTTTGAGTGGAAGTGAAATAAACGTGTTAGAATTTGCCTTGCGCAAAAACAGGAAGCTCCTCCCTAAGAACTGTCCAATCATATATTTAGAGATAGAAGGGACCTAACTGATCACAGCATAATATCCTCTTGCATTTCTGACTGATGGGGAAACCACACACTGGAAAAGTTAAAAGGTCCCCCCAGATCACTGTGCTGGACACCCCCAGCGACTGGGGAACTCACCACCTCCTTGCCCAGTGCTTGTTCTCTGAGAATAAAAGAACAAAAGAACAGATGACAGCGTGTTTTGGAAATCAAGGAAAGGGGGAACCACTGTGGGCTGGAGCTGTCATGGACAGAGGTAAATGCCTGTGCTTGAGCTAACTCATCCCATGTGAGGGTGGGGCTGGCGGGGGTGGGGGGTAGGGAGGGGCAACACTACCAGATGGGGGTTCTTAGAGAATTCTGCTCTCACATTTTCAAACACCGACACAGCTCTAGAACCGTGCAGGTGTAGTCACCACTTTAAAATTCATTTAAAATCCTCTGTATTTATGTTAAGTGCCTCAAAATTCATTTAAAATCCTCTGTATTTACCTTAAGTGTCTGTAAAGAGATGTTATTAGCCATGACTTTGAGAAGGAGAAGCCCTTTGACCCTGCTTTCTACTTCTTGCCCCACGGTGCCACCTCTGGCCTCCAGGAGCAGTGACATCAATCCTGGCTCACCCCTCAGCGTTCCAGAGTGGGGATGCAGGTCCTGACTGCATATCCTAAGACTGGGACCCTCCCCTCCCAGGAATACCTATCAGTGTATACCTCCCTGGAATACCTTTCAACCGGTGTGCCGCGAGAATTTCTAAAACATGCAATGTCTGACTATTTAGTCAAAGGCACTGACCTCTTTTCCCCTAGATTGTCAAATAAAAAAAGTGACAACAGCCAAACAAATACCCCATCTGGTGTGAATAAATCAAAATGATACCTACTTTTGGTCAGATTTACCAAAAAATATAATATATATTTTGGTGTGCTGCAGAATTTTAGTAATTAGTTTATGTGTGCCATGAAATGAAAAAGTTTGAAAATCACTGCCTTAAAATCATTCCACAACCGGGAAAAGGCTGGTGTGTAAGACAGGAGAGAGAGACGATATAAAAGATCACAATCTAATCCCCGCAAAGTGTAAAGAATAAAAGTTCCCCAGTAAAAGAATAAATGTGTCCTGATTCAAAGAAGCTCTCCTACGTGGTGGCCAGTGCGTGAGCTGAGATGGGTGGGGGAGGGGTGGGCACAAAGAGATGGTATTTTTCACAGGAAATGAATGTCCAGGCCGCGTGCCCTGGCATTCTGCTGAAATGCATTTGCAGGAGATGAGGGCAGTCTGGAAACCACAGAGCAGGTGGAATCGGGGAGACCGGAGATGCCAGCTCCGGCCCTGGTGGGGCACTCTGGAGGGGTCGGCCTTGGTGACAGGTGCTCAGCTGCAGCATGTGGCCGGGAGGAGTGGGAGGGGTGGGACTCGATGACCCATTGCTCTCGGGGAGCCAAACTCTCCTTAGTTTGGGTTTGTTGTCTGTTTTTTGGTTTTTGTTTGTTTTGCTTCAGCCACCTATTGCTTTTCAGGGTCAGGAACTCTGGCCAGTGCCTGACCCCAGCATACTCCTGGAGCCCCTAAAACATGAACCTGTCTGTATGTTGGGCTGGAGGCACCACTCTGGCCCACATGGAATTCCAGACTCTCTGGGAATTGAAGCCTGGGTGCTGTTGAAGTATAACGGTGGACGAATTGTCTTTTCCTCCTCTTCATGCCAAGTCGGGCAGTATCTTTTAGCACCAGCAGCTGACGGGAGGGGCTGGGGGGACAAAGAGCCCCTCCAGGCCAAGAGCTCCAGCTCCAGCAACTCCTTCCATGTCCTCCACAGGGCACACGGACCTGACGCCGTGCTGATGGCGGAGGGCAACCCGCCGACAGAGCTGACGCAGTCACAGATGCTGCACATTGCCCAGCAAATCGCAGCGGGCATGGTCTACCTGGCGTCTCAGCACTTCGTGCACCGAGACCTGGCCACCCGGAACTGCCTGGTCGGCGAGAACCTCCTGGTGAAAATCGGGGACTTCGGCATGTCCCGGGACGTGTACAGCACTGACTACTACAGGGTGAGTCGCTGAGCCCAGGGTGAGTGGGGGGACCCCAGGGCCCTGTTTCCCTGGGAGTCCCTGCTTGTATTAGTTTGTTAGGGCTACGCATAACAAATACCATGGACTAAGTGGCCTAAACAACAGAAGTTTATGTCCAAGATTAAGGGGACTGCCACATTGGTTTATTCTAAGTTCTCTCCTTGACTTGGAGAGAGCACCTTCTCCCTGTGCCCTCACATGGATTTTCCTCTGTGCATGCACAACCCTAGTGTCTCTCTGTGCGTCTAATTTCCTCTTCATATGCGAACACCAGTCAGACTGGAATACGGCCCACTCTAACAGCCTTGTTTTAACTTAATCGCCTCTTTAAGGCCCAGTCTCCAAAGGCGGCCATATTCTGAGGAACTGAGAATTAAAACCCCAACAGACACATCTGGGGAGAGGACAATTCAGTCCACAACACCTGTCCTGCTCTCCTCATGGTTTTCCAGAGCGGTGTGTGATGTCTCCATGAGGAAAGTTCTCAGCCTGAGAATTCCACCAGGGAAATCTGAGAGCTTGGGGGAATTCCTAGAGGGCACGAAGTTAAAGGATTTTAAGGTGTGCACTTGTTCTGTAAAATTATGTCTGGAGCCTTTGTTTGGGGTTCAACTGGTGAGCCATAAAAAATTTTAAAACATGCGATACCTGACTATTTAGTCAGAGGCACTGACCCCTTTTTCCTTAGACTGTCAAATGAAAAATGACAACAGGCAACAAAAGTCATACATATTTTTTGTCAGATTGATAAAAAATATAATTTCTGGTGTCCTGCAGAATTTTAGTGATTAGTTTATGTGTGCCATAAGATGCAAAAGGTTGAAAATTTCTGGTGTAAAACAATGAATCCATTGCCTTGCTATATACTGTTTTGTGGGGGGTTTTCTTTGTCACCTTCATAAGCATTGCTCACATTTTACATATCAAGGAGGAATGGAGACCAAATTGAAAAAGATTCTCTTTGGTTTATCTGTAGAAAACATGAGCATAGTCTAAACTTCAAGCATTCAACATAGAGCTTCAAAGTACCTGTCCTTGGTCTAGAGATGACTAGTTTGTTCTAGTTACCTAAAGTGGGATGGTCCTTTATTATCAATGGATGCATCTCCTCTGTTCGCTCTACTTCCTTTGGGAAGGTGGGGGTGGGGGCATCTCTTTGTCTCAGGAGAAAAAGAAACACATGGTACTTCCCTAAGGGAAAGCTTTGCTGATCTTGATGAGCATCTAATGGAGAAACATGTGGCCTAAGCAACAGCTTTCTCTTTAGCAGTAAGTTAACCAAGGTCGCAGAGCGCCTGGCACAAAACAAGTGCCTAATAAATGTTTTCAGCCATATCATTATCCAAATCAATAAAGTTATGCTTCATTTCCAAAGCTAGGACTGAGCTAGGTGGAACCCAATGTCCTTTTCTACTATCTCTAAAACAATAATGCAAAGGAAAAAAGACTGAAACTCTCAACAATGTGAAAGCAAATCACTCCATTAAAACATTGGCAAAGGATTTAAGTAGAGATGTCTCCAAAGGAAATATACAAATGGCCAATAAGCACATGAAATGAAGCTCAATATCATTAGTCATTAGGGAAATGCAAATCAAAACCACAATGAGATACCACTTTATACCCACTGGGATGGCTGAAAGGAAAAAACAGACAAAACAAGTGCTGATGGGGATGTGGAGAAATTGGAACCATCCTAAGCTGCTGGTGCAAATGTAAAACAGTGCAGCTGCTTTGGAAAACAGTTTGGCAGTGCCTCGAAATGTTCAACAACGTATAACCCAGCAATTCCACTCCGAGGCATATACTCAAGAGAATTGAAATCGTATGTTCACACAAAACCTTGTACAAAGATGAAATAGCAGCATTATTCATAATAGCTATAAAGTAAAAATAATACAAGTGTCTATCAACTGGTGAATAAATGAAAATATCATAATTTATGCAGTAGAATATTATTTATTAATTAAAAGGAATAAGTACTGATTCATGCTCTAACCTGGATGAACCTTGAAAACATTATGGGGAATGAAAGAAGACAGACACAATAGGTCACATATTATATGATTCTATCTATGTAAAATATCCAGAAAAGGCAAATCCATAGAGACAGAAAGAAGATTAGTAGCTGCCAGGGGCTGGGAGCAATGGAGAATGAGCATGACAGCCACGAGATACTGAGTTTCTTTCAGGGATGATGAAAATGTTCTAGAATTGTGTAGCGGTTGTTTGGTATATTTACAAATACACTGAAAACCATTGAATGTGTATGTTAAAATACTAAATATTATGGTATATAAATTATATCTCAATTTTGAAAATCTGAAAAAGACAATTCTAGCAAAATAACAACAGTAGACATAAGGGGTTAATCCTGGTTGTTTACACATTATGAAAACATCTTGGCATCTACCTTATTTTATGTTACGAAGAAACATATAATAAAGAAACCCCCCCCACTTAGATGCCATATTTCTGAAGTACTTCCTTCTGATCGATTGGAGAAAAGAATGATTCCCAGTTCCTTATTTGTTCAATGTTCTTGGAGCTAGCCCAGTCATTAAGATGCCACATGTATTCTGACCCCTGCCCCATACCATGGTCACTGCTCAGGTGCTGCTGCAGGGTTTGTAGTGCTGTTCCCTCGGCTGATTGTTGTTCCCACTGAGGAGGAGGAAAAAGAACCAGACTTACATTGGCCTCTGGGATAGGTGGGAAAAGCAGGTGAGGGATGTAAGACCTGGCAATGTGATAGTAGTTAGGAAAACCAAGAAATCAATGACTGTCACTTTGCTTTATCTAAAATTTCAAAATGATGTTTCACCTTTTGGTTCCATGACAGTATTTATCATTATGGAACTCCTCTGCAGAATATTTGTTGCTTATTAAAACATCAAAAGTGTATCATTGGGGTCCATCCTGTTGAATTTGTGAGGCAGGCAAGCAGAAGCTGTTGCTCTGTGTTCGCCGATGAACTCCAGAACATCTTACAGTGGCGATTCCCAGAACACTCTTGGCTGTCACGTCAGTTATCTACCTGTTGTGCCGTCTGTAAGCTTGGTGTTAAACCCTCCCCGTCATGGCGCCTCTTCATCTTCTCTGTCACAGCAGCTGGGAAATGTGTTCACTTTACAGTTTGGGTTTCTCATTTGCAGGCACCTCTTCTTCTTTATTCTCCTTTGATCTTCTTCAAAAGCCTGCACCCTCCACAGTGACAGGATGCTGTAGATGATGTGACTTGTCATCACCTGTGTTAAGTATCCTTTCCGCCATAGTAATGAGGGAGGATTTTTGTGTTAGCTAAGACTATCTTATGTAGAAGGATGGCGATTGGACCTGGCGTCCATTTTATTGAGAAGTAACATGTCCCTTATTTTTAAGCAAGAACCAGTCCCACTGACAGCCCACGCTTTCTGCTTGTGGCGACTTATGAGCAGCCTTGTGGGGTGACCACAGCTCTGTGCCGTTCGGGGCAGGAGTGGTAGTGGCAGCTGCTTCTCCATCGGTGGCAAGGGGTGGGGAGGGAGCTGGAAGCACCAGGAAACGGCTGCCTCAAGGCTCCCACCCTGTTGCAGCTGAGCTAATTATATCTTCCCAATGAAGGAGGAAATCGGAACGCTACATTTGCATTGAAACCAGCCTGATATGGTGGGTCCAAAATTACTCTAGCATTTATGTTCTCTGAATTGTTTTAATTAGCAGCTCTGCAGTACTTGTCTTCTATTTTGCTTTTATTCCCTCCCACCACTGGCAAAACCTGACATTTAGGAAGCATCTGAACCAGATTTCTGTCACATTCTGCCTATCACAGACCTAGGATCTTGCTCTGCTTGGTCATTACTGTGCCACAGTGGATCCACTGAAGTTTTTCTAATGTGCACTTTGGTAGTTTTCACCATTTGGATCTAGCGTGTGCTGAAAATGAATGTGATCTGTTGGTGAATACAGGGCCCTAAACCCCTGAGATCCTAGCTTTTATGTGTTGTTCTCCTTTGGGCTTTAGCGTTATGTTCAAGTGGTAAGAAATTCTGTTCTTTAATTCATCTTCCACTTAAGAGGGAAAGAAAAGGGAGTAGAATAGGCAGATTGATTTAGGGTAAGTAATTAGCAAAGTAAATGAATATAACTTGACTAAACGAGGCCATGGTCAGAATCCTAAAATGTTAAAATAATATTAGCAACAAAGTCCAAAATTCATCTTTAGGTGCTCAATCCCAAGCTGTTAGCTGCAGAGAGAAAAGATGGCTTGTGCTCAAATCAGCCGATAGAACAAAAAATAAAAAGAACTGACTTGAACTTCAGAACTTTCCCTTGCCCACACTGGAGTGAGAGGGGTGATGAACTAGAAAATAAATTCTTAAACCACAGAGGAGATGGGAAGGCTTAGATGTTTTAAGAACTGGACAAACACATAAGAAATAATCAAGGGTTAACTTTCATGCCTCAGTCTTTGAAAAGAATGTATTTCTTTTTAAGGAATATTTTCATGTAATGTGAACATTTCTAGATTATATGGGTAGGTAGTCAGATTAGATAGATAAATAGGTAGATAGATAGATAGATAGATAGACAAACATTTACACATTCCACAAATGTTTTCAGTGTGTGGTTGTGTAAAATACCAATATCATTTTCTCTGTGAGGAGTATAATTGCACCTCCCTGGTGAATGAATGCTAATTCTTTAGAGGCAATTCTAGCTTCACCTGCTCCCTTCACTTACTCTACAAGCAGAGTAACTGCTCACAAATCTGAGGTCTCTCAATACTTTATATAAATCAGCATTATAACATAGAGCATGTTGCATCATGGAAATTTGTTTATATATATGTTTCCCACTAATAAGAGTGCAGAGAGATGATAAGTCATACACATCTTTGCATCAGCACACACTGGCTATACCAGGTGGTCAGTCAATGACTATAGGACAGGATGCACATCAGGAAAAGCCTTTATGAGTGAGTCTTTTTAGCCCTATAG